TGTGTGTGTGTGTGTGTGTGTGTGTGTGTGTGTGTGTGTGTATGTGTGTGTGTGTGTGTGTGTGACAACAGATGGGACTTTTTAATCTTAATCTAAAATTTCTTCAAACTTTCCAAATAATTAGAGATTTCCAAAGTGATAATCACTGACTGCTCTCAATTACAGGGAAGATTGAGACTGTTTATCACTACTCCACACACGCACACTCTTTGTTTTGATTTTATTCAGATCATTCTTTTTATTTAGCTAGTATTTAATCAGTCAGATCCTAAAAGGAATGAATTAAACTTGCATGAACTGACTGATTTTTGCTGCCTCAGGTATTTCCTCATTGGACAGCAAAGCTTCAGGTAAGATGGGTGCGCGTGCGGTGGTCTACTACATGGTGACCACCCTGATCGCAGTGTTTATCGGAATCGTGATTGTCATCATCATCCGGCCGGGGAAAGGAAGCCGGGACAGTCCGGTGGTCAGCAGTGGAACCATCGAACCAGTCCAGGCTGTGGATGCTTTTCTGGACCTCATCAGGTGGGATTTAAAAGACTTTACTCATATCAATAAAATATACCACACAATTTATTACTGGTTGGAACTCATCGGGTGCTGTTTTTATTTATATCTAGGAACATGTTTCCTCCCAATCTGGTAGAAGCATGCTTCAAGCAGGTGAGGTGGACTGTTGTCTGTGCACTTTGGTAAACATTTGTGATCTGTGGCATCAGTGGATTTTGGGGTGCCCCAGGGTTTGGCTTTGGGTCCGCTACTCTTCTCCTTAAATATGTTGCCACTAGGGTCGGTTTTCAGAAAGTATGGGATCCAGTTTCACACATATGCTGATGACGTGCGGATTTATGTATCCATTCCAGTTAACAGTGACTCTCTGTCTCAGGACTTGTTTGACTGCCTAAAATATGTGCAGGCATGGTTTGACTCAAATTTCTTCAAACTGAATGAGACAAAGACTGAGATAATGGTTTCTTTGGGTCGTCTGCTGCACCAACAAAAGAAGCTTTGGAGATCTGTCCTCCTACTGTCATCCCACATTTGGGGATCAGGGGGTTGTTTTTGACTCACCTTTTCAGATCAGGTCAGTGCAGTGGTAAAGACTTGCAGATGCGGAAATACAAGATGGAGCTTCCGGATGCAGTGTTAGCTCTCAAGCTGTTGGATCCTGCCTGTTTGGATGCAAAAGATCGACAGCTGGCCCTAACTGCATGCACAGATTTACCGTTTGCTTCGATGAAATCAGCGTTAAAAAGGATCTTCGGAGGGAAGTTGGCTCATGCTGTGGGAATTAATCAAGAAATTGCCTACGTAACAGAACAGAAAAGCAAACCACGCTACTCTTGGAATCAGTGCGATAAACAAAAGGCGTCACTCCCTGGAACTAATCCACTGGACAGGTATGGACGCAGATCAAGATGTGCAGTCTGTCAAAGCACATTTCACTGGACAAAAGACTGTCCAAACAAAGGTGAGCAAGCTAAACTTACCTATGCTCGTGAGCCAGAGAAGGTGGAGGAGTGCAACTCGTCTCGTCTCTCGTCTTCCTCCGCTTATCCGGGTCCGGGTCGCGGGGGCAGCATCCCAATTAGGGAGCTCCAGGCCGTCCTCTCCCCGGCCTTGTCCACCAGCTCCTCCGGCAGGACCCCAAGGCGTTCCCGGACCAGATTGGAGATGTAACCTCTCCAACGTGTCCTGGGTTGACCCGGGGGCCTTCTGCCGGCAGGACATGCCCGAAACACCTCCCCGGGGAGGCGTCCAGGAGGCATCCTGACCAGATGCCCAAACCACCTCAACTGGCTCCTTTCGATCCGGAGGAGCAGCGGTTCTACTCCGAGTCCCTCCCGAATGTCCGAGCTCCTCACCCTATCTCTAAGGCTGAGCCCGGCCACCCTACGGAGGAAACTCATTTCGGCCGCTTGTATCCGCGATCTCGTTCTTTCGGTCATTACCCAAAGCTCATGACCATAGGTGAGGATTGGGACGTAGATCGACCGGTAAATCGAGAGCCTGGCTTTCTGGCTCAGCTCCCTCTTCCCCACGACAGATCGGCTCAGCGTCCGCATCACTGCAGACGCCGAACCAATCCGCCTGTCGATCTCCCGATCCCTCCTACCCTCACTCGTGAACAAGACCCCGAGATACTTAAACTCCTCCACTTGAGGTAGGACCTCTCCCCCGACCCGGAGGTGGCAAGCCACCCTTTTCCGGTCGAGAACCATGGTCTCAGATTTGGAGGTGCTGATCCTCATCCCAGCCGCTTCACATTCGGCCGCGAACCTACCCAGCAAGAGCTGAAGGTCAGAGCTGGATGAAGCTAGGAGAACCACATCATCCGCAAAAAGCAGAGACGAGATTTTCCTGCCCCCAAACTCGACACACTCCACACCACGGCTGCGTCTAGAAATTCTGTCCATAAAAGTGATGAACAGAACCGGTGACAAAGGGCAGCCCTGGCGGAGTCCAACCCTCACTGGGAACAGGTCCGACTTACTACCGGCTATGCGGACCAAACTCACGCTCCTCTGGTAAAGGGACTGAATGGCCCTTAACAGAAAGCCACCCACCCCATACTCCTGGAGCGTCCCCCACAGGGTGCCCCTGGGGACACGGTCATAAGCCTTCTCCAAATCCACAAAGCACATGTGGATTGGTTGGGCAAACTCCCATGCCCCCTCCATCACCCTTGCAAGGGTATAGAGCTGGTCCACAGTTCCACGGCCAGGACGAAAACCACATTGCTCCTCCTCTATCTGAGATTCAACTATCGATCGGACCCTCCTCTCCAGTACCTTGGAGTAGACCTTTCCAGGGAGGCTGAGGAGTGTGATCCCCCTATAGTTGGAACACACCCTCAGGTCACCCTTCTTAAAGATGGGGACCACCACCCCGGTCTGCCACTCCCTAGGAACTGCCCCCGATGACCACACAATGTTGTAGAGACGTGTCAACCATGACAGCCCTACAACATCCATAGCCTTGAGATACCCAGGACGAACCTCATCCGCCCCCGGGGCTCCGCCGCTGTGTAGTTGTTTGACTACCTCAGCAACTTCTGCCCCCGAGATCGGACAGTCCATCCCCAGGCCTCCCAGCTCTGGTTCCTCCTCGGAATGCGCATTGGTGGGATTGAGGAGCTCCTCAAAGTATTCCTTCCACCGTCCGACTATAGCCTCAGTCGACGTCAGCAGCTCCCCATCCCCACTGTAAACAGTGTGAGCGAGTTGCTGCCTTCCTCTCCTGAGGCGCCGGACAGTTTGCCAGAACCTCTTTGGAGCCGATCGATAGTCTTTCTCCATGGCCTCACCAAACTCCTCCCACGCCCGAGATTTTGCCTCGGCAACTGCCACTGCTGCACCCCGCTTGGCTATCCGGTACCTGTCTGCTGCCTCCGGAGACCCACAGACCAGCCACGCCCTGTAGGCCTCCTTCTTCAGCCTGACGGCTCCCCGAACCTCTGGTGTCCACCAGCGGGTACGGGGGTTGCCACCACGACTGGCACCGGCCACCTTACGACCACAGCTAGCAACAGCCGCCTCGACAATCGCAGAGTGGAACAAGGCCCACTCGGACTCAATGTCCCCCACTGCTCTCGGGACGTGGTCAAAGCTCTGCCGGAGGTGGGAGTTGAAGACCGTCTTGACAGGTTCTTCTGCCAGGCGTTCCCAGCAGACCCTCACTATGCGTTTGGGTCTGCCAGGTCTACGCGGCATGTTCCCTTGCCATCTGATCCAACTCACCACCAGGTGGTGATCAGTTGACAGCTCCGCCCCTCTCTTCACTCGGGTGTCCAAAACATACGGCCGCAGGTCAGATGATACGACTACAAAATCTATCATCGACCTGTGACCTAGGCTGCCCTGGTACCAAGTGTACCGGTGGGCATCCTTATGTTCGAACATGGTGTTCGTTATGGCCAAACTGCGGCTTGCACAGAAGTTCAATAACAAAACACCGCTCGAGTTCTGATCAGGTGGGCCGTTCCTCCCAATCACACCCCTCCAGGTCAAGCTGTCATTGCCCACGTGAGCATTGAAGTCCCCCAGCAGGACAATGGAGTCCCCTGATGGAGCACTATCTAGCACTCGTCCCAGGGACTCCAAAAAGGGTGGGTACTCTGAACTGATATTTGGCCCATAAGCACAAACAACAGTCAGGACCCGTTCCCCGACCCGAAGGCGCAAGGAAGCTACCCTTTTGTCCCCCGGGGTAAACCCCAACACACAGGCAGAGAGTCTCGGGGCTAACAAAAAGCCAACCCCAGCCCTCCGCCTCTCACCCGGAGCAACTCCAGCAAAGTAGAGTGTCCAACCCCTCTCCAGGTCTCGGGTTCCAGAGCCAATGCTATGTGTCGAGGTGAGTCCGACTATATCTAGCCGGTACCGCTCAACCTCTGCCACAAGCTCCGGCTCCTTCCCCGCCAGCGAGGTGACGTTCCATGTCCCAAAAACTAGTTTTCTTGTCCGGGGATTGGACCGCCAAGGCTCCCGCCTTGGTCTGCCACCCGATTCACATTGCACCGGACCCTTCATGTTCCTCCTGCGGGTGGTGGGACCACAGTTGGACGAGCCCATGTATCCGGTTCGGGCTGGGCCCGGCCGGGCCCCATGGGCGAAAGCCCGGCCACCAGGCGCTCGCTCACGGGCCCCAACCCCAGGCCTGGCTCCAGGGTGGGACCCCGGTAACCCTCCGGGCCGGGTACTCCGACTCTTCGTTTTAACCGCCATGAAAGATCCTTCGAAGGAGGAGTGCAACATTGCTCTATATACAAAAGAGGCACCCTCAGATGCGGAAATATTTATGACTGAGTGCTTTGGTCCAGCATGCACCAAAACAGTATGTGGACAAGAATGGCTTGACAGCTACTGTATATTATTAAGCTAACTCCAATTGAAGTAAAAAAAAAAAATAAAAAAAAACTAAAGATGTCAGAAGTACACAGCAGTAGACCCTTCAAGTTTGGAGATGGAAAAATAGTCAAATCCATCAAAAGGGTAAAGATACCGGCAAATATTGGGCAGACTAAGTGTCAGATCGAAACAGAAGTTGTCCCAACAAAAATACCTCTGCTTTGAAGTAAAGAATCAATGAAAAAGGCAGAAACAGTGCTTAACATGGAAAATGACAGCACAGTGATGTTCAACAAACCTGTGAAGCTTGACTTTACCAGCTCCGGTCACTGCTGTGTGAACATAATGGATAACAATAGGCTGTCTAGTTATCATGACAATGTCATAACGGATAATGTAAAGAAGGGTAAAGAACAGATACTGGCACTCACAGAAACAATGGCTTCTGCAGAGAAGACAAAAATGCTGATTAAACTTCACAAGCAGTTTGGGCACACATCTGCTGAAAAACTTAACAGACTGCTGATAAGTTCAGGCAATAAAAACAAAGAGTGTGGATCTATTCTGCAAAAGGTGGTAGAACATTGTGAAACATGTCAAGAGATACGGCAAAACCAGACCAAAGCCAGTTGTTGGTCTTCCACTGGCACCTCAGTACAATGAAACTGTGGCAATTGATCTACATGAACTTAAAGAGCAAGTCACCCCCAAATAAACATTTTTTTTGCTGATAAACTAAATAAGCGAGTGTCTAATCGTGCTGCAGACACGTGTCGTCAATAATTTAGCACTTCAGTGCATCTTAGTTCAAATTTAAATATTCTGCCTAAAACTGGCAGTGTTGTGCCGTTGTCAGGTAAAAACTCTGCACTGTATTTTAATTTAAATCTGCCACCGCTATTGGCTAATAAGTATGCTATGATGTAAACTGGTACATTATGATGTCACAATGCTGTCGTGAGCCTGAGTGTGTGTGTATTTGTTAGCGGCTCCGCCCTCTCGGTCTGCCAGGCAACAGCATGTGTTGCATTTTTCAAACATGAAGTGGGAGTGGAGTTAGACTCTGGTAGGGGTTGACTTGCTCTTTAAGCCGGGGCTGTGGTACTTCCATGTCATTGATCAGTTCACAAGATTTAGTGCAGGAAGCATACTAACCACAAAGAAGTCATCTGAAATAGTTAAACACTTCATTCATGTATGGATAAGTGTGCATGGTCCACCTAAAAAGCTGTTCATTGACAATGGGGGAGAGTTTAACAATGATGAGGTCCGGGACATGGCAGAGAACTTCAACATAGAAGTAAAGACGACGGCAGCATACAGCCCATGGAGCAATGGGCTACTTCAAAGACATGATCAGATGCTCATGGAGATCATAATGAAAGTGAAAACAGACACAAGCTGTGACTGGGATACTGCATTGGACTGGGGTGATAATAGCTAAAAACACTATGCAGAGCGTGCATGGTTATAGTCCATATCAGCTGGTGTTCGGACAGAATCCCAACCTGCCATCTGTGCTGACTGACAAACCACCTGCATTGGAAGGCACAACAAAAAGCGAATGGGTGGCAAATCACATCTCGGCTCTGCATGCATCAAGAAAACCATTTACAGAAGCAGAATGTTCAGACAGAATAAGACGAGCTCTGCGTAAACAAATTTGACATGGAGATGACAGGTATGAAGTTGCTGACAAGTCTATTATAAGAGAGTGGAAAGGACCAGGAGTCGTCATTGGACAGGATGGTGCAGTGGTGTTTGTCAGACATGGTGGAATGTGTATCAGAGTCCATCGAGTCAGACTAAAAAAGGTGGACAACGAGAAAGATGATTTACAACTGGAAAACTACGCAGAAATAAAAAAAAAATGCCGTGCTAAGTCAGGAGAGGACAAGAGACTTTGTTGATGACATGGAGGCTGTAGAGCACACAAACACACTGGGACAACCAGAAGTAACAGCTGGTGAGGATGCTGGAGAAACTACTGCAGAACGTGCAACAACAAAAGGAGAATATGAAAGGAATGCACAGAGTGATGTGCAGCCAGAGATTTTTTGCTTGAAACCTGGACAGGTGGAAAATGCAAAGATCGTGAAACTGGAGGCTTCTTGCTGTCAGTTTTCTGAAGCTGAATGACTCCAAGTCTGAGGCACTCCTCGTGGCTCCTAACAAAATCACAGACTCACTTTCTGATTTGGACACCCTCCCAAATGACTTCAAGCAGTGTGTTACCAACCTGGGGGTGAAACTGGATACCCACTTTTCCATGGGCCCTCGGATTAATGCAGTGGTCCGATCTTGTTTCTTCCAGCTGCGCCGACTGATTTGCTTAAAACCAATTCTGAAACGGGTGCACTTGGATCCATTCATGCTTTTATCATTTCCCGGCTGGATTATTTATTTATTTATTATTTGGTGTAACAGCCTCCTCACTTAACAGGCTTTAGGTGGTACAGAATGTGGCAGCCAGGTTTCTGACAAACATTTCTAGACGTGACCGTATCACACCTGTACTGGCGCGGACTGGCCTTTTGTGGATTCTGGAGAATCACAGAATGGCCGGCACTTCAGGTTGGCCGGTGGGCGGGCCCACCACTCTCCACGCACGCTTTCAACACCTGTTTTGTCCCCCCTCAAAGCTCTTTCATGCTCCAGCACTCTAGGTGGCAGCACTGCACCTCTAAGTTGGATGCCAGCTACACTGGCTGTGGCCGCCAGGCAAGGAGAAGAAGAAGCTGAAGCGGAGAGGAGGCAAAAGCAGTAGAAAAAAAAAACGATGCAAAACCCGGCCGCTAGTAAAAAAAAAAAAAAGGAAAGAAAAGGGTGGGGCTGAGAAGGCAAGAGAAAAAAAATTGCAGGCATTAGATGCTGAAGCCTCTAAATGTCACAAATTAACTGACATATTTAGCAGCACAGCCAGCAGCAGCATCTCGCAGTAGGTTCACAGCAGTGAAGCCAAGCTTGGTTTATGCTTGACGCATTTACTTAACACTTGGTGATGCGGCTCGCAGATGGAACGCGCTTCACAACTAGCAGCGTTTATGGTTCATGCGGCTTGTTTCTGCGGTGGGCCAATATTCTCCCAAACTGTAGGGGGCAGCATGGAGCATGCATCCAACACTACACCATAGTAGAAGTAGAAATTGCTGTTGTTTAAAACAGTTGTTAATGAAAGTTGAGAGTCAACTCAGCTCTTTTAGAATTGGTGGAGTGTTCTTGTTTCCACCAGGATCACCACTTTTCCATTTGTTCCCCTTCCTTGCCTTCACATGTCAGTCCCTCATGTTTTTCCAGCATTTTTTAACAGCGTCCTCATCTTTTCCGACAGTGCGAGCTATTTCTCTCCAAGAATTATTAACAACATGTTGATCACGGTGATCTTTGAGAGCTGAATCATACAAATGTCTTTATTTATGAACTCTGCCATAACAAGTTCTTGCCAGTCCGCCATGTTTTTCCGTGTTCGGCCGTCCGCATGGTTAGAAAATTTCCTAGTTGCGCGGTGTGGAAAGTTTGAGTCGTGCGGGGGCCAGGTGGAGGGGCGTGGTTGTTAAAATGACGCAATTTTGCCGCGCGGAGCCATGCGAAACTCGTGGACGCATCAAGCATAAACTAACCTTCAGGCAGATAGCTACACAGCAACATGCCAGCAGTAATGAGGGACAGAAAGATGCGCTGGTTCCACAGGCAGATCCAGGGGAAGTAAGTATGGAATGTAAGAGGAGAAACATTTGCAAGGATTGATGTTAGGAATTCATGTTTAGGTTGCAATTTTATTTTATGATAACAGCTAAATTTCAACATTTTAACTGTAAAGGGCCACATGTAGTGGGTAATAAGAAATACGTTGTGGTTTAACGTAAAAAGGTTGGTAGTGGTGTTACAGTTAATGCTCACAAACTTTGAAAATCTTAAATACAGAAGTTACATTTGTAATGTTGCATTTTCATTTGGATGTGGTATTATTTGTGCAGTAAGAAGATTAATTACTGCATAAATTATGAAGCTTATCAGTAATACAGCTTTTAATACAAGATATAGTCAACATTAGTGCTGTTAATATAATTTTGATGGTTTGACCACATATGTTTGCTGCCGAGTTTCCGCGCGCCGATTACTTTGGGTCGGGCCTAGTCAAAGTCCAGGGCTGTTTTTTAGTCCCAGTCCGTCCCTGGGTGTGGCTCCATTGGCTACCCGTGAACTTCAGAGTGAAGTTTAAATTCTGACCTTTGTTTTTAAGGCACTGAATGGTCTGGCACCGGTTTACCTGTCTGACCTCGTGACTTGTGCCAAATTGTGCATTTAGATCTGCTGATTGCTTGCTGCTTTGTGTTCCCACAATGAAATACAAAATGCGGGGTCAGCGTGCTTTCGTCTATGCTGACCTGCCCCTCTGGAATGCTCTTCCTATCTCAGTGAGGCTGGCACTATCCCTCCCCTGTTTCAAGTCACCGCTTAAGGCCCACTTTTACGACCAGGCATTTTAAAACCCTTGACTTTTATTATAGAGGAGGAGATTTAGAAGTCTTCGCAGCTACAGCTCCCGCCCCTGTTCCCCCTCCCTTTCTGGAAGGAGCTACATGCCACACTATATTTATCGAGTTTTTAAACACCTCTAGTTCCTCTTTCTCGAAGAGCAACCAGTAAAAATCTAGCAATTTTCCAGGGTGTCATTAGTAACTTTTGGAGACTGAGATGAAGCAAACAGCTTTGATCTCTACTCGTGGTGCTGGGGTGGGCTCCTCTCCCATCAGAGAGTGTTCAACAAGTGGAGCTGCCACAACAGATCCACCCAGTCCAAGCTACTTACTGATAAGAGTGTCATTTCTGAAGTTACTTAACCATTAAAGTTGCATACCCCAGCTTTACGGAACATGACAAAGGTTTTCTCTTGAATGTGTCTTGTAGTATAAAACGGTGTACAAGAAGACTGTTCACACTCGGAACATTACCCTGACTCTGAACCTCACTGACTCTTTAAACATCACAGAGTCTAACCTGAGTGGAAACATCAGCAGAGTGCTTCAAACCATCCAGGTGAACTGAAATCTCCTTCTGTTTTCTCATTTCTCAACCAGTTACTAAGAAATCCTAACTTGACATTACCCAAGTGGAAAGCGTGCCCCTCCTACTTAAAAAAGTTTAGCACCAGAGAACCATCTCTCACGTGGAAGAGTGGTTACAGGAGTGGTAAGATATTTGTGAGCCAGCAGTGCCAGCTTGTCATGAGCTCCTGAATGTGTCAGTCAGTTTGTCTGAGGTAGACTTACTCGAGGTCTCCACACTCTGTGAGAGTGGTTTGTTGTAAGCTGGTTGAGGCGTTAGCCAAAGCGCTAGCAGCATCTCTGACTGACATCATGTTAATGTGGTATTTTGAGCTGGAAGTGCTTATGTGAAAAGAAAATTTGTTCTTGCACAATGTGCATAACACTTTGTCGGTCGACCGTTCTGCCTTTTTTAATACTCAAATTTCCCATCAAGAGGGCTAGTTAGCATCTGCTACCGATTACTAGTGGATTAACTGCACATTTACGCATAACAGTAACTCGACTCAGACAAACTGTCCGAGATGCAAACTCAGAGTCATTGCCTGGGTTTTGTGTCATTCTGCATAGCAGATGGGTTCATCTTGTTAAAACTTTTAATCAGATTAATCATCATGATGGATTAATCCAAGTTAAAGTGTTAATTTTGACAGCCATGGTTTTCTCCATAAATGTTCAGATCCAGGTGCACACCAGTTCAAAAAACTAAATCAGTGGTTTTCCATAACAGGAGATGGTTGAAGAAACTGTCCCTGTGTCTGGTTCCTCTGGCGGGGTAAACGCTCTGGGTCTGGTGGTCTTCTCCATGTGTTTTGGCCTGGTCATCGGTAACATGAAGCAGCAGGGCCAGGCTCTCAGGGACTTCTTTGATTGCCTGAATGAAGCCATCATGAGGCTGGTAGCAATCATCATCTGGTCAGTTAAAACACTTTCAGCTCTTCTACTACGCTTTACCTGCCATTATGCCTGTATAATGTTAGCAGGTACCATTGTAGCTCATATCATTCCACACTTACGAGTCTGAACCATCTCTTCCCAGGTATGCTCCAGTGGGAATCCTGTTTCTGATTGCAGGGAAGATTGTAGAGATGAAGGATCTGGCAGAAGTGGGTGGTCAATTAGGGATGTATACTGTATCTGTCATTGTGGGCCTTCTGATCCATGGACTCTTGGTCCTGCCATTGCTCTACTTTCTGGTGACACGAAAGAACCCCTACAGCTTCATTGGCAGCTTGCTGCAGGCGCTCATCACTGCTTTGGGAACATCCTCCAGGTGAGCCTCATTGTGTTGCTATTTCTTAATGATCTTCTTGATATTGTTGCTGTATTTATTTATTTAATTAGTAACCTTCATTTAACCAGTTGAGATGATTGAGAACTCTTTCTCTTTTACAATGACGATCTGGTCAAGAGGCAGCAGCAACAGACACATAGTTAACTTTACATCGAAGAAAAACAGATAAGATAAAAATAAGATAAAACTGTTAGACATAAAGACAAAGGACTGTTCTCATATATAATATGTACAAGTAATCAAAACAGACTTGAACTTTAAGTGCTCAGAACCAGACACATTGATCAGAAGCTATTGCTTGCATGAATTATTGAAGGTAGATAATGGAGTGTAGGTAGTGAGCTTCAGTGATTTTAGCAGCTCATTCCTGTCGTTGGAAGCAGCAAACTAGAATGAGGAGAGGACAAAGGAGGTGCGAGCTTTGGGAATAACCATAGAGATTAAGTTACTGAAATGTAATTTGTGCTGGTTGTTGGAAGTGATGAGAATTTGATAAGTGATGAGTGTTTTCAGCACCTTGCCTGAGATCCTTGGAAAAACACATGGGCAAATTGTGTTCAAGACATGTGATTTCTGTCTGCTGTAGGTTTTTTCTTCCCACTGTGACAGAGTGAATGCACAAAAGAATGTAGTTTTAAAAATTATTTCTTTAAACTATTATTAGAAAACTCTTGTACAAGAAGCTGCAGCAATGAGGAAAATTGTAAATCACCATCCAAAAAGCAGTTTTATAAACTGCAACTCTTTTCACTTGTCTGAGCAGAACCTCCCTGAACCGTCTACAGGTGGTTCAGAAAGCCTGTGCTCGGCTTCTGACCAAGTCCTCCAAACACACCCACATCACCCCGCTTCTCCTCCAGCTTCATTGGCTGCCAGTCAACTCCAGTGTTCATTTCAAGATCCTGGTTCTGGTCTATAAGGCCTTACATGGACAAGCACCATCTTACATTGGTGATCTTCTCAGTCCCCACACCCCCAGCAGGTCCCTGAGGTCCAGTGACCAAAGCCTACTGGTTGTACAGCGCACCAGGCTAAAGACCAAAGGTGACAGATCATTTGCTGCTGTGGCCCCCCAGGCTCTGGAACTCTCTCCCCCTGAGCCTGAGATCCGTGGACTCAGTGGACTCCTTTAAAAAGCAGCTGAAAACTCACCTGTTCAGACTGGCTTTTATGTGATCTTCGGTAGATTCTTATTCTACCTTCTCCTCATCCAGCTCTTTCTAACAATTCTGTCTTTCCATTGATTACATCTTTCTTATTTGTTTTCTCTTTCCTTGTCTTTCCATTTTTTCAATCGCAATTTTGTACTTTTTCCAATTCTTTGCATTTTATTTTATTTTATTGTGAAGTGCCTTGTGATCTTTATCTTGAGAGGCGCTATATAAAATATTGTTTCTCCTTCTCTCTTCTTTATGGTAGAAGGATAAAAAAACATTTCATAAAATTAATTAGTTAATAACCAAAATGCAATTATTACCATAATGTTGTAGCTTTTCCTCGTGGATGTTGTTTCTGTATCTCAGTTCTGCTACCCTGCCCATCACTTTCCGATGTCTTGAAGAAAACAATCACGTGGACAAACGAGTGACACGTTTTGTCCTTCCCGTGGGTGCCACCATAAACATGGATGGCACCGCCCTCTACGAAGCAGTGGCGGCCATCTTTATCGCTCAAGTCAATGACATGGACCTGAACTTTGGGCAGATTCTCACCATCAGGTGAGTGATTTTGACTAAAAACTAAACACAAAGAACATTATTGGAACTGTTTGATGTTAACTCCCAGTTTTTAAAATAGAATTTCTCGGGGAAATTTTTTTACTTGAATTAAATTTACAATCCTTCATGTTCCACAGAAATACCTTTCTAATATAATTATTATAATTTTTTTCATAATATCATGAATTTATTAGAATCATTTTTATTCCTATTGAAATAATTTAAAACTTAAAAAATTAGAAATATTTTCACTTTCTTGCCAAGGTATTTTTGGATATCATGAACTATTAGTGTCCCTCTATGACATCAAAATCTGGAAAAATATGGAGATGGAAAACACTTTCAGAGTAAATATATGCACCAGGAAAAATTCAAAACTCAACTTTATTTATAACGCATGCTACAACAAAGTGACCACTGTGCAACTTAAGAATAAAAACCATGTGAAAAAAAAAAAAATCATTTATAAAATACATTAGAAATTAAAATAAATAATAAAAGACCGAAATGTCAACAAAGTGAAGTGTGTCTTTAATAGTGTTTTAAAGACAGATATGGGGAATTCATCAACATTTTTGTTATTTCTCTAGTGAGACTTCTGAGAAGCACATAGGGCTCAGTTTGAACACATGACAATGATCGCCAGCATCACTGCATCTTTGATTTGAAATGAAATTTAACATAATGTTTGGGTTAAGCAATGTGTCAATTCAGTATTATAGTTTTACCCATTACTTGTCTTTGGAGTCAGATACATGCCTCATCACGGCCCATTTGCTCACTTCTATGAAAGTGTGTCATACCAGAAGTGTTCATGACTTTATTAATGATAGAGGAAATGAGTGGTCCAGTTTGTGGAGTGCGGTGTGATTCTCTAATTTCACTCCAGACATGTGCTGTTTGTTTGTTTCCCTTTTCTGAAATGTCTCCATCCCTCCCACCACCCACTTAGTATCACAGCAACTGCTGCCAGCATCGGAGCAGCAGGCATTCCTCAGGCCGGCCTGGTTACCATGGTGATCGTATTGACATCGGTGGGACTGCCCACAGAGGACATCACACTGATCATCGCCGTGGATTGGTTCTTGTGAGTTCTGTCTAATTCGGTCTGGGACTGTGCCAGCCTAAATGTCACTGTAAAGCTTCAGAGAGCTCAGAGGTCACACATCTGCAAAGGTTACTGATGCATAATGCAGAGTGGCAGATCAGAATGCCTCTAAATGTTTTTACAGCAGACATGTTGATGGTTCTGCAAATGTCCCACATTTTTCCTGAATCCTCCCATCTCGTCGCTGCAGGGACCGTTTGCGCACCACCACCAACGTGCTGGGTGACTCACTCGGAGCCGGAATCGTGGAGCACCTTTCTCGTGGAGAGCTGCAGAGTCAAGACGCTGAGGTTAAGAATTCCGTGATTGAGGAGAACGAGAAGCCCTACCAGCTGATCTGCCAGGAGAATGACTCATTCAACCACCTCAACAGTGAGACCACAATGTGAAAAGATCCAACCCTTCAGTTCCATGAACCTTTGAGTTCTTTGTTTAAAGGTGTGGTTCACTCATTTATTCAATACATTTGTATTGGTCTCTAGTAGAAATGAATGTTATTGTACTCTGAGTACAAAAAACCCTGGTGCACCTGTTTTAGGATCTAGAAGATCGCCAGGCCAGAGGAGGGCTTCAGACGGCAGGATTTGGATTCTTATTTCCTGATATTTGGACATCTCACCTCTGATTGGGTAACAGCAACCTGATTGTTTGCTTTGCAACATTAATCTCCACAAATAACACAAGCCTGAAGGAGCTCTGCAGTGTGGTGGAGTTACTAATGCTAACAGTTAGCTTCTACTAGCTGAGACGTTCTCTGCTGTTTCCTGGACGCTAAACCAACAACAGCCTTCCCCATCGTGAGCCAAGATGGGTGAGTCCATGAATGTTAGCTATTACTGTTATTTCTATTTTCTATCAGAAGCTAATGCAGGAGATAGGTGTAGGAGACTATTTTCACGTTCAGCCTGCATGAAAACTCAGAGTGACCAATTAAAATCAGAAATAATTAAAAAAAAATTCAGTGAACCACACCTTTAAATTTAATCTTGCATAGTTTTAATGTAGTGAAAGATTTGCACATCAGTGCAAAAAAAAAACAGTATTATGACAAGAAAAGTCATAAAAAGAGTGTCAATAGTTCTGCTCATCACCTTTACCCATCTTCAGTTGTTTTACCAGCAGACACCTATTTGGGTTTCAACGCCATGACTACCTCTTTATCAGAAGTTTTAGGCCACTCAAAATTTAAATACAGGAGTTTCAGAGCAACAGAAACGCACAAAATCAGAAGGCTGTCAGCCTATCAGTGCTTTTCATTATTGTTTATTTATTTAATTTATTTTTACCTTGTGTTATTAAGGTTCCCTGACATGATGTAACTGCTGAAGACTTTGAATGTATTTGACTGGTAAACATTGGAATTGTTAAAGTAAATAATGTTTGAGTTTGATGTAATTTTAGTGGCTTTAGAGAGTGGTCCTCACTCTGTGCTCTCTCATAGATATGTGTGAGATGTCAAAATTATGTGGTGCTATTATCTTTAATATTTGACCCGTTTTTTTATGTGTGATACTGCAGCAAACAATTGCAGCTCAACACTGTGGTTAGCTTCATTTTCATGTCATATTATTTAAAGAAATTGTCATTTTTATTTAGTTTTATTAAAAAAAGTGAATTAACAATTCTCTAAAGTTTTGTGGGAAGGTAGAGTTAAAAACTTTTGAAGTTTTGAGTTTTTATATGCATTTGTTTCATTGTAAGTTGTGCACAATAATTAAAATATAGATTACTTAACTTTTGTTTAATTTTTTAAAGTTTACTTAATTTTCTGTGGTTTAAATTTTTGTTTAGAAACTTGACTTGATGCTCGATGTAATTTTAGATGGAACGTTATTTCTTATTGGAGAACAGCTGAGCTTTTGAATGGACAGCAAATGAAAAATGTGACTAATAAATGTCTCAGGAAGTGAACTGATTCTGATTATTGAGATTGTGGCTACCCCTTGTGGAGGATGTTATCCGGTCCAGAACCAAACGTTACACGGCAGCAAAACAACTGATCATAAAACTCTATGTAAAATATTTGTGTTCATAATAGATCACTTAGAAACCATTTACCTTTAATGCCACTGTCTGAATGTGCTGTCATCCTCTCATCCAAAATAAATAAATATAAAAACATTTAGATTTTCATTAAACTTGCTTTAACCCAACATTCCTTATTAACCTAGACAACGAATACCAGTTTTATCATCATTTCAGTTACTACTCTATGGCCTCTGGTTCTGTTTATAAACATCCATCCATCCTCTATCAGCACTTCTTCTTCCTCAGTAGGGTCATATGGAACTGGTGGCTAACCCCAGCAGCCATTGTGAGCACATGTCCATATGAACATCGATCCAGCTTTGTGCCAAGATACTGACATCAGCATATATGCAGATGATGCTGTTATCTATGTACTTGATAGGAACATCAGTCAAGCTTCCTCTAGATTATCTGCTGTGTGGGATAAAATTTACAAATGGCTACAAGCTTCATGTATTTTACTAAACGCATAAAACATGATGGTATGGACTTTAGTACCAACAAAGTTAAACATATGCCTAATATTCATTGTTAAAGGAGAAACAGAAGCACAGTTGAAGTGTTTGAATGCTGTGATTGTTTCTCTCACCTACTGTATCTCCAGGCCCAGCGCCACGAGGGGGCGTTCAGGGGCGTCACCCTCTTAAATGAACTACACTACCCCCTCAACAATATATTTAATACATTTTGAAATTATTATTACTTTCAACGTTTTCAACTATTTCTAACAATTCTATTTTAAACTGAATGTTACAATGTGTGTGACCGCTTTGTTTATAGTGTTTCTTAATGCATTGGAAAATAAACGTTCCTTTAGCGTATTGCTAGGTTTCACTCGCGTAACTCACGTGACGTCTGCAGCCGCGTGAAACTCAAATAGGAGAATAGCGGGAAGTGTTGTGCTCTGCAGCAACACAGAGCTACAACACAGCGTTATGGATGAAAGCGATTTAACTAAGACTTTAAATGAGCTAGGACAGACGTGATATCGTGAAAAAATACATCTTCTTTTAGGTAAGCTAGTTTTAAAAGTTGCACTTATCATACACTGTGGAAGATTCACCCAGTGCTGAAGCGATCGGCAACAAATTACCTTGTGCTGCCTTCCTCATATTACATTGCAAACCAAACGAAAACCTTTTACAAGTCTGAGGGCCTACAGCTGTTTTATTTCAGGTTAGTTAACCTTTTATTGATCCGTAGAAGCTTTACATGGTGATTTCCTGTTGGTCCCAGGCAAATGAGACCTCAATCAAGCCTTAAATAGGTTGAGAAAAAAAATCACTATTATTATTATGGTATTCTTAGTAAATACAACATGCTAAGTTTTGACTACCTTCAACATTCAAACTTTCTTCTTTTTGTTCATTATTCTCAGGATTTGTACTAATGATTTTATTTATGAAGTAATCAAGTTGTCTTTTCAGTAAATGCATTTTGTGGTAAATGTTTGTGCAGTAAATAATAAACATTTGGACAAAAGGCATGTGACACATCAGACAAGTCCACAGTCAGTAACAACTAGTCACACACAAACAGGGAGGATTTAGTGTTGCCACTTCACCCAGCATGCTTGTTTGGGTCTGTGGGAGGAATGAACCCAGAGAAAACTCACATGTGCTCATGGAGAACATGTAAGCTCCACACAGAAAGGCCGTTGCCAGGATTTGAACCAGCAACTTCTCACTGTGAGGACACAGTTCTACTAACTGTGCCACCATGTAACCGTTGTTTAGAATGAATGATAAATAATATCGTATAAAAACCTATTTAACTTTTTTATTGGAATTTTCTATTTTATATGGATTTTCTGAGCAACCCCTGAACAAATGAATGAAAACATGTTAATGTTTGGATTATACTTTGAGTCCTGATGCATTAATAAACATTTGTATTCTACTTTGGGTCAAGAATCTACTAAAGTACTAAAAACAATTTAAAAAGTTTCAAATTTGATTTAGAGTAACAGTAAATTTTCAAATATGCAGCATGGTGGAAAAGAATACAGTTATACATTTTCTCAAAATCATTTTTTTACAATAATAATATAGATAAAGATATTAAAAATACATAGATAATGAAGCATTCATTCATCAACACAAGTACTTTAAGTCATGTGAAGGAAACATGTACAAAAAATAATTAAATCAAAATGCTTCTAAATATGAAGTCTTTAACAAACTGGGTCACATGGCTGTAACGTGGTTGATGGGCCATGGGCGGCATGTCTGAATGGTTTAACCATGTAAAGTAAATTTGAATAATTACATCTTGGTATGACTACAAAAAACAAAAAACATGTGAACATGTGTTTGAACAATGTTTTCAACCAACAAACAATTGTACAGATCCTTTGGGTCCACTGAATCACAGCAGCTGTTTTGTTTGCTTTAGCTTCTACTTCAGAGTTGATGTTTTTCTTGCATGAAAGAGCCATCTGTGCTGCAGTGGAAATGTGAGAGCGCAAAGTGATGTAACTGTGGAGCCTGGAAGGTTTGAAGGTTCAATATGAATGCATCATCAGATGTTTGGCCACTATGTTGTGCACCCATAGTCAGACTTTCTTTAATTTTGTCTTAATCAGTGGTTTTCCGATGACTCTCAGAGCATAAAATTTCTTTTCCCGTGTTGACTTTTTGCTGTTTATTAACTGTAGACAGTATTTTAGACCTGGCACCTTTTGTCCTTACTTCTCTTTTTTCCCTCTATTTTAAATCACACACTTCGCAAAAATATGGACAAAATTTTTTTTTAAAAAGCAGCCAAAGTCCAAAGAAAACCTTAAAGATGTGGTTAACTCCTTCAGTAACTACATTTGCAGTGGTCTCTAGTAAGAATGAATGCCTTGTTAATGGTTCTGGGGAGGAAAAATATAGCGGTGCACAATTTTTTGGACATAAAATTTGCCCACATCACAGCTGAGCTTCAGACGGCAGGTTATGGAGTCTTATTTCCTGATTTTTGGACATCTTGCCCCGGACTGGCTAGCAACGTGACTACCACTGACTTACGACATGGATGTTTTATCTCCACAAATTACACAAGCGAGGAGGAGCTAATGGTTAGCTTAAACTAGCCAAGATGTCCTCTGCTGATTGTTGGATGTCAAACCAATAACAGCCTTTCCCGTTATGAGTCAAGATGAGGAAGTCCATGAATGCTGATTCACAGCGTGACGTAGATCTGTCAGGCTTTTCAGATCCTAGAATGTATCCGTCTATTTTCCATCAGAAGGTAATGCAGGAGATAGGAGGACGAGACTTCAGGTTCAGCCTGCATTAAAAAACTGTCTGAATGTAATCAGAAAAAATGTTTTTTCAGGGAACCACACCTTTAAAAAATCTTCAGAATTTCTGGAAAACAACTAAAAAGAAACCTGAAATGCTATACTTCTTGGCTGCAATGTTAAATCTTTGGCAAACATTTTAAATCGTATATTAGTCAAAAAAAAAACCTAATGTTGGGCCAATATTACAATAACATTTGACTAGACCCACTCAGGACACAAAGTCAAAAATAAACAAAAGACACTGAAATTTTTCAGATTATTTTATAAAATATTTCACTAAAGACACAGTTCATTCTTCTACAATCCAATTCTTGTGTACCTCACACACAAGTGAGCCCTCGACGGTTTAACAGCCTGGCTGTGTGATGGGTCGGCTCATGAAAACTTTGGCATAGTTAAATGTTGGTGAAAAAGACAAATGTAAAGCAGAAATAGAGCCTCGTTTTAAAAGAGCACACAGAAAATATCAGGAGAATCTGGATTCTGGTGTGATGCTGTTAAAAATCGCTTCAACCCTTAATAGAAATGCTTAAAGATAAAAAACAAAATGCACATTAATACTGAAATCATTTTACTCAATATTCTGCAAGTTGGGTTAAATGTGACAAAACCCATCTACGTTACTGATGTATTACATGTTCAAGGTCTACAAGTCACAAAGATGCACAGAATACCTTGTTGATATAATATATGAATATTGATGCTGATTTTAGTACAACTGTTTCACTGATTTTACATCAGCCAAACATGTTTACGATGTTTTAGAAGGCGGTGACTTTCAGGCAGACTCTGGCAAATAACAGTATAAGCCATTAAGGAAAAACAATCACTCCAGCTTATCTTACAAATATTATTCCTCTGACGCTTCCACCCACAGTTCGTGTTTAATTGTCTAAAGTTGTTTAAATATGTATTGCTGCCCAGATCTGGTCCCGAGGAGACGGACAGAGAGACACGAGATGACTGGATCATCAGCAAGCGTCGTCGAGGGAACTCAACAAGCTGCTGGGATCTTACTTGGCCTGTTGAGAAGTTTGACAAATGCAAACACGTTGCAGATGAGTACTTTATAAAGCAAGTTATGATCTGAAATGTTTATAAAGTCTGGAGAACTTACGTTAGACTACGAGATTTTCTCCAGTTGTGGTGGACTCCTTCACTGCTCACTGAGAACCGCCCAGTTGTCTTTTTTTGTCCTAAATGGGTCAAAACAGGAGAACATCTGGCCTGACACAGTTGATATTGTTGCCGTCAAATCTATTTGAAGATCTCATTGCTAGATTTGAAAATTCTTAATGATGAGTGAATAAAAGCAGCACCATTTGGACATAGGAGAAGCTAGGAGGGAAGGATGTTGATTTTTTTCCTATTTGGTGAGTCATTTCAAACTTTGTTTTGTTGCCATCTTATGACAGCATTGATCAAGGATTTTATTTCTGAACTGGAAGACCTACTCAGGTGAGGATTACACATCCCTAAAGAACTGTGTGGTTATTTCATGTAGCGTCTGTGTCGGCTCTGACCTCCGACATGACGGGCAGGTTGTCTCGAGGAAGGAGCCACATGGTTCTCTGGGACTTGAGTTTCTGTCTCAGCAGAAGCTTCCTCAACAACCTCTTCACCTTCCGATCTCTGGGGTCGGCACATTTCACTGCCTTCTTGGTGTAAAGACTGCAGAAAGAAAATAAGATGTTCCTTTACTCAGCTCAGTGATCAGGATTAAAGAACCGCCGTCTCGTGTTGGATGATTAAACGATATAAATAATAAAACAAGACGGAATAAAGCGGAAGGGCAAAGCATGTTGGTGGTAGAGCTCAAAAATGTGTTATTTGTAGTGAGAGGGAATTCTGTGTTTGTGTGAACTGGATCAGGTGCAAAAGGTTTAAACTCCCTCGCTACATCAGATTTCTCAGACCTGCTGGAAACAATGAGTATCACGATGCGGTTTATTTAACTAAACCCTGCTGTTCTGACTGACTGGCTGGCTGACTGCTGCAGGGTTCAGCTGGCTTGTGATGTATTATCAGATGGCGTGTTATTCCCACATATTTCCTGTCTTACTTTCCTGGCAATTACACATCCAAGCCCTGCCGTAACAACTTGACCTGGAAAGACGACAATGCCTCTGAGCCCAGCTCTGCCCTCCACTAACAAGAGGCATATTTTCCATTCCTGCAAATTGCTCTGTGCTCTTAAGCTGCGGGAGTGGATTTCTGGAATACTTGCATGATGGCTTGTATACTGCAGTCAGGCCCCTCGGTCTGCACCTCAAATCGCAGCACATCTTTGGTCCGCACCTTGCCCTGGGAGTACAACATGCAACACTGGACATCCCTCTGCATCTGCACACCTTTAGCTGGAAAACAAACACAAATAGTTAGTTATTAAAGAGCAAAATCGTGCTTAATATTCCACAATTTCATGAAAACTTTTGCCAGAAACATTTCAAATTAAAATGTTTGTAGGGCATCCTTATTTTGGAACGTGAGATGAGTTGCAGCGGTGAGACAACATACCATCACGCCTGTGAAATGAGAGGAAGGGTGTGCGTTTGTGTGGCAGCTCTGCCGTAATGCCGCCTCATCCAAACCAAACGTGTAAACAAATCCAGTAGAGATGGGAAGCAGTGGGAGCTGCGTTGTTGTGCCACGGATGAGGAAGAATCAGAGCACTTCTGATCTCACACAGTTCCCATCTCTCTGCATGAGTGTGGTGAGATTTCAGATACTCATCCTTTCTGCTTTTGCCTCTGTTTACATCCACCTCTCCTGCTGCTATCCCATCTCTTCTCCTTCCTTTTTCTGCCTTCGCCTCGGCTCCTTTTTGCAACAGTGTCCAGCTGCAGGGTGCATGCAATCCATGCAGCACTCACACACTCACACACACGCATGCAAAAGAATAGCTGAGTCCTACCTTCCACAGATGTCAGGAAGACAGCAGTGAGACAGAGAACAGTCAACATCTGCAGGATGAACATGATGAGGCTGGCAAGGAATAGAGGATGATCCACTCTGTCACCTCTCCCTCTATATGGCTGCCTCTCCTAGATCACTCCCTCCGTCTCTTTATACACCCCTGCCCATCTCTCACTCACTCACTTTCACCACCTCTCCGTTTTTCTGTCTTACCGTCCTTCCCTCCCACCCTCTGTTTATCCATCTTCACTCATTCTCACGCTCTATTCTCTTCCTCTCTCTTTCATTTTTTTCTCACATGTTCATCTCACCTCTCCCTGCTTTCTCCCTGCTCGTGTTCTCACTCAGGATGCCAAGCTCCATTTCAGGCTTTAAATTCATTTTCCCTCTTCTGTTGCAGTTTTTACTCTCCAGTCTGGAAACAGATCCAAAGAACCTGGAGGAGTCTGCAACCATTCTCAGTTGTTTCAAATAGCAGAAATTCTTTTCCCAAACGCAGAACAGTGGGTCTGACCTGTGCCTGTATGTCACTTGCTGTCATTATAAACATGATGCAAATAATTAGACTGAATTATCCCTCACTTTCTTAATAATAAAAGGCAGCATAAAGGTCTCATCTCATGTTGGTGGTTGAGTGAAACGAAGCAGATTAGGTTACACACATTATGTCTGTAGGGCTGCTGGCTGTAAAAATATCAGGGTTCCACTTCCACATCATCTGTAGGGCTGCTGGCTGTAAAAATATCAGGGTTCCACTTCCACATCAATGTGTTATTGATTAGTGTGTGAAAATATTAATTCTCTGTTCGTTTTATTCAGTTTGACGTTCTGGTATGAAAAAAAGGACTGTTGGTTAGACCGAACACAAATCACAAAAAGTTTATGTTAGGACTTCATTTTTGGTGCTACCTTGCTTCTCCTCTCATACTATCATGCTTAAGTTTTCTTCCTCTGCACACCTGCTCCTAGTTTGTTAATCAGCACACCTGTTTTGGATTTAACCTTTAGCTGTTTCATTGTACACACAGCCAAGATCGTTCAGCTGATTCAGTCCTGCTAAGTGTTCAGATAAATTGGTTTAATGCATCGGTTTGATTCAGGAACAGGGCCACTACTCAACCGCACCTCTTACTTGACAAGCCTTTCATCTTGATGGTGCTTTTGGTGTTTTTGTGCTTCGTCAGCTCAAAATAAAAATCATCATCATCTTGGGTCCTGCTTATTGTTCCTGTTTTTCCAAAAATGCCACTGAAAGTTTTCTTCATCCAAACGAATTGGGTTTGCCTTCGCCTGCCTGCCTATGACCTTAAAGTTCTGTGTAGGGATAAAAATACTCAGTTCATCATAAAACCGTGTCCTGGTTCAGTCGAACACCTGTAACAACTTTAGTTTATAGCTTTGGTGGAAACTAAAACATGGCTGTTGGCTTTTACAACCTAAATAAAACAAACTATCTGTTATTTTTGTTCAGATGTTGCAACTATTTTGTGACTTTTTAACTTCCAGGTACTCTGAAATCTACTGTCTTCTTTACTTTTACATTGCAACTTTCCAATGACTGGTAAAAAATGGTAACCCCCATTACAGTAAATGTTACCTGCATACATAACTCCTCAAGTGATCCTGACCAGCTGTTGAGAATACTCATTTTCTGTTTACTGAATGTTTGCTTTTGACTGATTTAAACATTTTAATGATTCACAAATCCCACATTATATTCCTGTTTATATGAATAATAATTACAAACTCCCAAAAACTAATGACCAAGTCCACTCGAGTTTTCAATACATCTGCAGTGGTCTCTAGTATAAATGAATGAATCAGTCAATCTCTTGGAAAGAAAAACTCTGGCACTCATGTTTCAGGAAGTAGAAGTTAGCCAGAGCAGAGGTGAGCAGCAGACAGCAGTTATTGCAGTCTTATTTCCTGATATTTGGACATCTCGCTTCTGATTGGCTAACAGCAACCCAACTCTGTCACTGACTCTGTTTGCTTTGCAACGGTGATGTTTTATCTCCACAAATAATGCAAGCCTGAAGGAGTTCTGCCATGTTGTGAAGTTGCTAATGCTAACAGTTAGCTTTTACTAGCTGAGATGTGCTCTGCTCTCTCCTGGACGCATCATTTGGAATTGTAGGATGTACAAGGAAGGACCCGCCTTTCTCGCCTCTGATTGGCCGGAAGGGCTCTACTATGATTGGCTATTTCATGTAAGAGGAAACATTTTTCCCTCGCTGCAGGTGTTTATGTTTACAGCCAGATCTTGAGGAGTTTTTTTAATGAAAATGTGAACTCATCGCTATGATAAACTTCCTTTCCCATTTAGGAACAAACCAGGTTCCGTTTCTTTCATAAGAGAGCCTGAAAAATATCAAATGTGAACTTGTAATAATTCTTGTAGCATTTTATCACACTGTAGACTGACTTTACATCTGTTGGCTCTATTGGGGTTATCTTATTACTTCATTATTGGGCTATCTTGCTTTAATAGGTTAAGGTTGTTTGCAAGTTAAAGCACATCTCTCATCATCAGATTAAATGTATATCATTTAATCAAAAATGACTTTAAAGCTGCTTATGATTCAGACCTATTTTTCACCCGTTTTTATTATTCTAGAGAAGAAACAGACCTGATGCACACAGCTTGGCAGAATAGGGCAGTTTTATTAAATGTCATACCCAGGTGAGGCACATATGTTTATCCTGTAACATCCAGAAATGGTCATTTTTCACCTACTTATTGACCTACATGTCACCGGTCATTTGCAGACATAATTCCATTCTCTAAAGTGGATTTTACATTCTATCTTCCAACAAGCCAGAAGATTCTGCAGTCCTTGTTGACATTTCAGGGGCACAAGATATCAGCCTATGTTCCCAAGCAAAACGTTCTTTTGATAAGACTGCAGGACTGAACACTCTCATGAAAGATGAACTTTTACAACTCATAAGTTAAATAATCATTAAATAAACATATTGTTAAATGAACATATGTTATATGAATAATAATGTTAATGTTTGAATAATCTGTGCCTAATTCAATGAAGTTTAAATGAATTTTTATATTACAACGAAACATTTTGATGTTATGATCAGTAATGTTTGGTTTAACAAGTGAATCATCATCTAGACTCATACACAATGTTCATTAGATATAAATTAAAGTTAACATCACTGCACATAAAGATTCTTTATCCACAGAACTAGAACATTCTTGTATCTGGAAAAGACGTGTGTTCTGAGGTTTGTTTGTTAACACCTCTTAACCTCTTTTGTCCTGATTGGCCATGTAATCATAATATGGGAATATTAAAACCGAATCACTTGCGGAGTGATCCAGTTAGTTTGTTTTGAGCAGAGCTCCGGACCGGCCAGCTGAAGCAAAACTCTTTGAAAAAACGATTTCATCTATCTGTTGGGACTCAGGAGACATCCTAGGACTGACTTGGTCGCATCAAGGTTTTCTTACGAGCCACGTGCATTTGGGGTCACCGACTACTTGACATCTCGGATCTCCAGGAACGTGTACCTAGGCATGACACGATTGCGTCTGATGCGGTTTTGATAGGAACCAACTTTGTTAGTTTAATAGAGACCAAATTCTTTTCACACCCAGAACTCAGTTTGCTCTAGATTCAAGGTTCTGATAAACACGCGCCATTCAATCATCATGCTTCACATTCCATCCACTTAGATTCATCCATCACATTTGTCTTGTTTATAGTTGTCACATTTTAATTTGTGTAGAAAATAAATTTCTTACTTTTTATAAATCTGACTTTGCCTGAATTAATACGAAGTGTGTTTGATCACTGAAAAGCAAAGAATCCTAAATCTTCTGATTAAACATTCAAAGACCAATAAAGTTGATATTCTATATTTATATAGAATATCACATCCTATTGGTCATAAGTAGAGGTAATATATTAAGTTTAAAAGCAATAATATTTACCCCCTCTACAATCCTATGTACTCTAATGCTTCAGAGCCAAGAGATATAAAGTAAGTCCAACAGTTTGATAAATGCAACAAGGTTTAAAATTCACATTTTAGTATTTCAGTTTTTTTATGAAACATAAAACATAAAATATTTTGCAACCAGGACAGAATGTTTATTATAGTGCTAAGTTCACATTTTCTTTACTAAACTCCCCAGAACAGCTTTCTGCTGGTGGCAGAAGGACGCAGTCAGGACTTGGTGAGGACAGCCAGTTTTCTGTTAAATGAAATAGCCAATCGTAGTAGTGCCTTTCTAGCCAATCAGAGACAAGAAAGACAGGATCTTCCTTGGACATCCTAGAATTCCAAATGATGCCTCCTGGACATTCAAATTCAAAATACTTTATTAATCCCAGAGGAAAAGTAGAGACATCAAGTCAACAGCAGCCTTTATGAACCAAAATGGGCAAATCCATGAATGATAATTTGACGTGCTAATGTCACCGACTTTTCTAATCCGAGTTTTCCCGTCCATTCCACATTGGCATCTAATGCAGAAAATAGGGGTAGAAAACCATTTTCACAGTTAGCTTGTATGTTAAACTCAGAGGACTGGTTAGCGCTGTTGCCTTGCAGCAGGTCCCAGGTTTAATTCCCAGCCTGGGGTCGGAGTTTGCATGTTCTCCCTGTGCGTGCATGGGTCCTCTCCGGGTACACCGGCTTCCTCCCACAGTCCAAAAACATGACTGTCAGGTTGATTTGGCTCTCTAAATTTGTCCTTAGGTGTGAGAGGGTGTGTATGATGGTCTGTCCTGTGTGTCTATGTGTTGCCCTGCAGTGGACTAGCATCATGTCCAGGGTGTACCTCGCCTGTTAACCCGGAGACTGCTGGAGATAGACACCAACCCTTGCGACCCTGCATGGATGAGCAGCTATGGAAAATGGATAGGTGAACGGTAAAACTCAGAGTGACCGATCATATTTTGATAACAAATAAAAAATGGTTTATCAGTGAACTTGGCCTTGCTTTCTCTGCCTTCTGTGTGTGTGTGTGTGTGTGTGTGTGTGTGTGTGTGTGTGTGTGTGTGTGTGTGTGTGTGTGTGTGTGTGTGTGTGTGTGTGTGTGTGTGTGTGTGTGTGTGTGTGTGTACTGCCAGTATGTCAGTTTGTCATACTGACATACTGGCAGTATGACAAACTGCCAGTACATACTGTTTATACATTTACATACTGTGTATTTTGTTGTACAGTTACTTTATTCTCAGCTTCAACTTATATTTATTTTATCTTATTCCTTCCCAGCTAAA